ACCACACGATCAAAGAACTCAACAGCAGAGCACGATCGTATCTATGGTCAGGGGACCCTAACAAAACCAGATACATCCCCAAAATAGCATGGCACTTCATAACGAGGGAGCCTTCTAAAGGAGGGCTAGGTATAATTGATCCCAAACAGGAAACAAAAGCCCTGCAGATGAAATGGATAATTAAACTGCTAACTCAACCAACGATGGCCTGGCAGAAGCTTGCACTTGATAGTGTACGAGCCATAGCCCCAGTCCAGTCACCGGTGAATATGTCTGGACTATTCTGGGTCATGAATAAGGACTGGTCTCCCAAGACAGGAAGGAGAAGGCGGAGGCAGACTTCACAACAAAATGGGGTCACCTCTCCAACCCCTTACTGGTCAGCCCTCGTCCGAATCTGGAGAAGGTAAGAAAACCGAAGTTTAAAGAAGAGGTTCTACGACAGCCCCTTTTCGGAAACCAATGCATAAGAGATGGGGGGGACTTACCCCTGTCCCTATCTAACGGACAACGGTGGCTTTCATGGGCTAAACATGGAATCTGGAGGGTAGCACACATAGGGGACGAAGAGAGGAAAGAATGGATAGGTGAAGATCAATTGAGGCAACGCCTGAAAGGATGCCACAACAGAGACGAAAATCTATCAGTGACTACTGTGGTGAATAGCATCCCAGATAGCTGGAAAGATCTTCTAAAGGAAGAATTCACATGGAAAGCGGGGGAGTGGGAGTCTTAATTCAGGAAGCTATACCAGAGAGAGCTTATCAATTTTATCGCAGATCCTCGAGTGCCGACCTATCGGCCGTTTTCACCTCCTTCCCTATAGACCGCTCTAATCCCAAAACTCTCACCATCAACAACGTTGACCCACAAGAAGCAACCCTCAACTCATACACACTTCGAAAAACAAGAGTTTTGGGTACATGGCCAAGAACAATATTCCAAGCTGAAACTCCAATCCAGAACCTAGAATTCAACCCAGAAGAATGGGCTTGGCACTCGAGTAGCAATAGATTTTGCAAATCACCCATCTCGATGACGCAGTACACAGTCAAAATGGGATATAGGATGCTACTAAGAATGAAGGACCCGGAACTGGTTATCAAGGGAAGATGGACCAAATTGCTTGGTCAAAGAATGGAACCAATCCCCAAATTTCCTTGGAGAAAATACAAATCAATTCGTCCAGTCAAAATCGGAAGTCTTCAATGTTTAATCACCTACAATGCCATCCCAGTGAACACATGGTTACAGGTCCGCAGGCGAAACAGCGACCCTAACAGTTCAGAACAATGTGCCATATGCTCTGATAACGAACAAGAGGACATGATACACTGTCTGATAACTTGCAGCTTTGCTACTGACATATGGGCGAGGGCTGCAGCTCTCTGGGACCAGTTATTTCCTTCTCCCTTACCTGGACACCCCATCCAGCTACTCCTATGGACTAACCTCCCCTTACAATTCAACAAGTCGGAGCACATCTGGTTCGGGATAATCAGAAAGGTGACACCGTGGGTAATATGCAAGGAAAGGTGCAGTCGGACCATTGACAACTCCAGCATGTCGTCGGAACAAGTATGGGCATCAATGAAAACCCTCATGGAGACTGACATCCGCTGCCAGTGGAAGAAGGTCAAGCTTCAAATTCAGCAGGACCTGGACAAACAACAGGAAACGATAGCCAAGTTCAGAAGGGTGTGGCTGGTCCAGGGAAAGATAGCGGACATTCACGCCCTACAAATCAGATGGAAAGACTGGCACAATTCAGCTACCCCCTGAGGAACGAGAGGATCCTTCCAGAAGGAGCAACAAGATACCAGGGGTACGCGAGACCCCCTGGGAACCACTCACCAAGCGGCTGTCTGCTGTCCGGGGAAACACTCAGTGAGCTGCAGAATTTACCAATACCGATGGGTTAATCCAGTGGCATAAGAGGCGGTCCAGGATCCAATCAGTTGCTTATCTCCCTTCTTCTTGCTTTAAATGCAGTATCAGACAGTTTTCAACATTGAATCTGAGAGGGAATTAAGGGACAGGCAAGCTGACAGTCAATCCTCCTTCAAGGAGTAATCAATGCTGGTCAGGGGTCCTTCGGCCATACGGACGGAAGTGTGAGCGTGTATATTGATGTATTCATTCTTGACTTGCCGGGGGAATAGGAACCGGACTGATGCTCCCCAGAATGGATAAGGAGCCAGGACCATAAGGTCCTGTTTAAAAAAAAAAATAATAATAAAAAAAATAATAATAATAATAATAATAATAATAATAATAATAATAATAATAATAATAAAAATCTGAAGACAATGTACCTGCTATCGTACCTAAATCGCCTTATGTAATGCCTTCTTCCATGCGTCTTAAACCCTAAACCCTTGTTCTCCCGGACTCCATTGTGTTGCTCTTTGAGAAGGGGCTGTTATGCTCGCGGTAGTTGGGCTCCACTGGAACTGGAGTGTGGGGTCCTCTACCATGGCTTCCTTCCCTTGGCCCGTCACTCCCTTCTTAAAGCTTGCAATTATGTCCCGACTCCCGAGCCTCTTCTGGGCTTTGTTGAGCTTGTCTTTTCACCCTCTGCCACTGTCCTCGGATGTCCGTTTCCAGAAATTATATAATGTTCCTGGGCTTCTTTCTTGTGCATCCTCCTCTTCCCTAAGGTCTGCTGGCATCTGCTTTTCCAGATAGTCCAGAGCGTGTACTGTCGCAGGAGCCTGAAGGCGCGCTTGTGGTAGAGGTGCCATGCCTGGGGCGGGTCCGCAATTCAGATCTCAGGTTCACTGCTTCTGATTGTGGACCAGAGATTGCTAATAGAAAATCATCTGCAAAGCGGATGTAATGCATCCTTGCAGCAGTGTTGCCCTGCCCTCAGGCAAGGGAATTTCTGCTATCCCTGTCCAGAGGTCCTCCTCCATCCCCCGAATCTCCTTTGCATCCAGGCACTCCCAGAGGCAATGCAACATTGTTTCTTGTGCTCCTTCCGTGCACTGTATATGCTTCGTTTGGTCCGGGCGCCACTGTTGATGGCTCCTGTGCTCATTCAGCCATGCGTTAACAGGTAAGGCTACGTGATTGATCAGCCACTGCATACTCCTGACTCTGGCCAGCCTTATTGCTTGCAATGTGGGCCAAGGAATGTGCAGCCCTTGTTCTCTCGGTACTCCCATTCACTCCTCCCATCGGTTGGCTAGAGGCTCCATCAGTGAGTGAGACCATCTTCTCGGTCTGTAACCTACTTTGGTTGTGTAGTGCAGTATGTTTGTTATTCTGGAGACCTTCACTGTTCCCCCCCTGAGGTTCCATGCCCAATCAGCCGGGTCCACCTCAAGATTCTCCACTGGAATTGTCAGCGCGTAGATGGTATAGTCCTCTGTTTCTACCACCCTCACCTTCTGAACTGCTTCCCTCCGGATGTTAATCGGGGTACGGGAGTCCTCCAGGAGGCTGGTAGTCATTCTCTATCGAGTACATTTCTGCTAAAGCCATTCTCCTCCTGGGCCCACCTGTCCACCTAATCTGAAGGCTTCTGCTGGTACTTCTTCGTGTCGCCAAGCAGCCCAATCTCCAGCTGTCCAACTGGGCTCCTCCTCCAGGAGTTTCCTCCAATCTTCCGGGATGGATATAAGAATATCATTGAGGTTTTCTAGCAATCTGTGGCTACCTTTCATTTCTGTCCTCAGCTCCGTTGCCGTTTTCCATCGGCGTTCCTTGTCATCCCCCAAGTGCTTCACCTGCCACATC